AAAAATAATGTCCATTGACTAAAGAAAATGCATCCAAGCATTATAAAAATAAAATATTAATCATGTATAAATTTATCCCAATTTAATCACTGACCTGTTACAGGGTGCTATGTATTTCTCTAGCTAATGTTATATTAAAATATTTGAAATAGAAAAGAAATTAAAAGCCAGGCTCCATGGCACACACCGCCAATCTCAGCACTCAGGGAGGCAGAACTGCTCTGAGTTTGAGGCCAGCCTGCTCTACAAAGTGAGTCCAGGACAGACAAGCCTACACAGAGAAACCCTGTCTTGGAAAAAAAATTAAAAAAAAAAGATTATTTAAAGAAAAGGAAAGTTTCCTGAAATCGAAATCTTGGCTAAAAGGGAAAGCATCACTAAAACTAAAGGAAGACAATGCAGCCACTCCTGATGAGACCTGATAGACTAGGATCAGAAGGAAGGAGAGGAAGTCCTTCCCTATCAGTGGACTGAGGGAGGGGCATGGGTGGAGAAGGGGAGGGAGGGAGCTACAGGCGGGATACAAAGTGAATAAACTATAATTAATAAATTCAGAGAAACTATCTAAATATTAATACTTGTTTTACCTGTTCTTAACCTTGGAAAAAATTAATTTCCCAAGTTAAGTACAATAATCCCAGTCCTTAGGAGCCTAAGTCAGGAGGATTATGAATTCAAAGCTATCCCATATACTATATCTTAAAAAAAGAAAAAAAAAAAAACCTTCCATACATAAAAGAAAAAAGAAATGAGCTTTAGCTACTCAGGAAGCTGAGGAACAAGAATGGGAATGCAAGGCCTGCCTAACACCCGATACAGAGGTCAGGGCCAGCAGGAACAATGCAGTGAGAGCTTGCTTGCCTACCATATGGTGAAAATCTGGTCTCCTTCTCCGGTGCTGGAGGGGAAAATCAGTTTTGCTTTTTATTATTCGATACTTGCATACTTTCCATTTATTAAACAGTTTCTTTTAATCACTTTCCTCCTCTTTAAGAGCATTATTACAAAGGTATCAGGCATTTTGTGTATGAAATGTAAATCCCAACACAGTATTATTTCATTGCTTCTGATTTTCTGCATTGCTCAACTTTATTTTATTTCTATTTTTGCGCTTTTTTTTCCTTTGGGAAGAAGAAGCAAGGCTTTTGAAAATAGGCTTTCCATATAGATATTTACCTAGCCTTGAACTCTCTGTGTATATAGAGAAAGCTAGCCTCCAACTTGGGACTTGTGAGAATCTTTCTGACTACTCACTTTTATCTTTTTATTAGTTTTACTTCTCACATTTTTTTTTATTTTTTGAAATTATAGCATAATTCCATCATTTACCACCTTCTTTTTCCTCCCTCCAATCACTTCCATGAATTCCCTTGTTCTCTCAAGTTCACGGCTTCTTTATCTTTAATAATTTTCATTGTGTGTGTATTTGTGTGATACACACACGTATATAGATAGATGATAGATAGATAGATTCTTAAAACACATAAATACAACCTGTTTAGTCTGTACATTACCTGTATGCATATAATATATTTCAGGGCTGATCCTCATTACCCAATTACCTTTATTAATAACAGACAAATTTCATGTATATGCCAAATGATAGTGAAACTGTCAGAATTTTAAAAAAAAGTGAAGGATTAATGGGAAAAGTGCAGAGGAAGGCACAATTGTCTCACTGCCTCTGTGTTCTTCTCCAACCCATAGATCCAACAGCACTCAGAAGTTTTCCTTTGAACAGAAACAGAAGCATGTTAGTCTTTCCTCAGTATTCTGTACAAATTTTTAACCCATCACAACTAATCCGAGTAAAGTACCATCTTTGAGTAATTCCCCCCCCAAAAAAAAAATCCTCCCTTGTCTATTTCTATCACTTCTTGTTACGACTAACTTTTACTTCCCTGGGTCTAACTTTCCCCATTTACAAGAGGAGCTTAGCTTGACATTTAAAAACCTTCATTCTTCAGGTAGTCATGAAAAGAAAAGTGTTCTTTCAATTGTGGAAGTTGGGTGAGTTGCACAAGGAGATTGTGAATTTCAGTTCCTGGCCACCTCTGTGAAAGCTTGATGTGTCAAACCTTCATTTCCAGAGTCACAGTCACAAGCATCAATACTGGTACCACACCTTGAAAAAGTGAAGCTTGAGACAAAAGGAAACATCATTCTTATGAGTCCACCTATTTATATCTTGTTTGGTTGACCATCAGTTTCTGCATTAATTTTTAATTTTAAGATACTGATCTGTGATACTATATCTTGATGATTGAATTTTTGAGAGTCCTGATCTTGGCCCTCCTCTGCCCTCAACACATTATTACACCTAATTGTTCCTAATCTACCTGTGTCATCAATGGTAGATTGTGACCATCTTTAACAAAAGACCCATTTTGTTTGTTTCTTTCTGTCTAAAATTTAGTGCAATTAACATTGAGTAGGAGCTCATTGAATAATGATAAATAAGGACAAAAATCAATATTATTTCATGTTTAAATGCTAAAATCTTTCATGGGGAAAATACTTATTATACAGAGAAAGGAATTTTGTTTTGCTTTGTTTTATTAAGAAGGGCATCTTTCTTGGAAATAAATCACAACTTGAAGTAATAATATATAATTTCTCCTTTTGTGGTTCCATCACCTATGAATAGCATCACAAACTGGCACAAGCCTTTATTTAATACATAGGCCTTTTGGGGGAGAATATTTCAGATCCAAAGCACAACAGTGAATACTCATTGAGAGTGAGACAGCAGAAAAACAGTGCCGAAGAAATCACTGTTTGGTGTAAAGACGGTATTTGCCCTAAAAGGATGTATTGAGAAGTTAACCCCTTCCTGTCCCTTTCTTTTCTTCCCAATTGCCATGTGATGAAGTGGTATCCTCCAAAACCATGAGCCAAAATAAACCTTTCTCCATTTAATATATATATATATATATATATAATTTATATAGATAAATATATATAATAAATAAATAAATATATATATATAATTTCACAATAATAATGATAATGTATTTGTGGTTCAAGGGACGGCATGTATCTATTGTAAGGATGGGCTTCTAATTACTATGATATTCATATAATATTGAAATTTAAACAAACCATGTTCATATCCCTGTTTTTAGTCCTTGAGTGGTTATAGGACAAAAGCGCATCCGGAACATAAAACCAAGTGCATGCTGGTTGCTTTTTCTTTTCCATTGCAAATTATCCTCAACTCTAGAAGAGAATACCAGTTGGATCAGGGAACTGGAGAATGGTGACCTTTTCTACCTCATCCCTAGACCAGAAACAACTATTCAGTTTGTAGATAAAAAAAAAACACACATATTTTATGTGTTACTTGAAATAATATCTCTGGTAAGGTAAATGAGTGAAAAATGACCTGTCAGAAGTTCATTCCATCCTACTGCATTTATCTTCATTGTTAATGGATCAGTGACTCAGCTCAGCTGTCAACGAGGTTGATGTGGTACTCTCCTTTAGGATTTGGGAGGCTCAGTTTAAAGTGTATGTTACAGAAACCATTAGGTCTATGCACAAAGACAATTCATTTTTTCACCATGGATTAGTCATGTAAATATATTTTATATCTAGTCATGCCTAGATGAAATTAGAAGTGATTATACAACTATAACAAGTCAACTTGGAAACGAAAATTTAAATTAATATATTCACCAGTAAAATATACAATCATCCTAAATTTAAACTTATAAGATAGAGTCATACAAAATGTACCATTATCACACAGACTTATTTTTTTTTTCCACCAGTGGATAGTACTTTGAGAATGCATGGTCATTCTTATGAATAATTGTGAAAAGTGACTAGATCATAAAACTACCCAATGTGCCTTTGAGTTATGATAAAGACATTAATGATGAACAAAACAAAAAATAAGAAAGAATATAAATGAAACAAGGCATGTATTATTATTATTACTATTATTAAAAATACCATGTGAAAATGAGACAAATTCTGTATATTAGTGATAAAATGTTTTGGTAAATTTAGTCCACAAATGAACAAAGATTTGGATAGCTTAGTCCCTTCTGGTTATCGTGCTACACATGTGCAATAAAGTCACTTGGGAAAAGAAAGGAGAAACTCAGGTTTGAGATCAGCCTGGCCTACCTTACAACTATCAAGCTACCCTTGATAGTATTCAAAGACCCTGTCTTATCCCCCAGCCCAAGTGTAGTTGAGTTCACTTTGATTTATTTTTTAATCAAATTTACTGTTACTGTTGCATATTTACCTAGGGTTCTGTTTATTTGTTTGTTTGTTCGAAGACTGGGATGCTCTCTATCCCAGAATGGCCTATAACTCATTCTGTAGCATCAAACTCTTGGCATTCCTCTGCTTAAGTCTCCCTAAAAATGAGATCACTAATGGGAAGAGGGACTGCCTCTGACATAATCTGATTGGCCTGCTCTTTGATCACCTCCCCCTGAGGGGGCAGCAGCCCTACCAGGCCACAGAAGAGGACAATGCAGCCACTTTTGAGGAGAACTGATAGACTAAGATCAGAAAGGAGAGGAGAACCTCCCCTCTCAGTGGACTTGGGGAGGGGCATGCATGCAGAAAGGGGAGGGAGGGTGGGATTGGGAGGGGAGGAGGGAGGGGCTTATGGGGGGATACAAAATGAATAAAGTGTAATTAATAAAAAATTTTTAAAAAAGTTAAAAAAAATGAGATCACTAGTTTGAGCTATCAAGGGAGGGAGAGTCACTTATTTTTCAATTCATTTAAAACCCACAAAAAATTAAAGTATCTTTTAAAAGAGGCCAAGAAAACATTTAAACTTTATAGAGAAATAACACGATTTTAAAAAGACAGACAATAGGAAGAAAAGAAAAAGGAAAGAGTGTTTCTCTCTAAATCAAGAAGATCATTGCATTGGTATAAAACGTGATGGCAGTTTCCCATCACAGCTCTAAGCATTGGCCTATAAGCCAAAACATTTTCACACTCATGAAATAATTTTATTATAAGGCTTTATGTACAAGTACTTTTATTAAATGAATAAGCATATTTACAGATTGTCTTGGGCCTCATTTTGCTAGAGTCAATTTATAAGTGAGGATTTCTCCAGCATCTTTTAATGTTAAAGTGGTTTTAATTCTATGAAATATTTAGAAAATAAAAAAGGAGTTCTCAGATGAAGTTCTATTAAAATTTGACATTTTCAAATTTTATAAGTTTCATGGGCAACCATTACAAAGCAATGTAGTAACTCAAAAGTTCATGTTCATATTAATCAATAGAAGTTTCCCCAGAAAATAAGAGATTCTGATATAAGATGGACATTTATATCAAATGCCTCCTCCCCCCCCACATCAAAAAAAAAAAACCCCATAAAACTTTCATTTACACATACCAAGAACAGATAGAAATACAGAAAAAAATCTGGAAGTGAAACAACAAAAAGCTCAACCAGGGTTGAGCTATTTTAAAAGCTGCAAAGGATTCAATTAGGCTGTTAAGCCTACATAATGAAAAGGAAAAGTCAGTACTTGAGAACCAGATACATTGCGTAACACTCGCTGACATTCCACCGAAGGCTATGATATTTTTATTCTCTTCTTTCTCTAGCTGCTTCTTTAATTTTTAAAGTACCCCGGTTATCAAATCTTATCAACTTCTCAGAAAAACAAAGATGCCAGACATACAGATGTTATGAGCACAAAAGCTTGCAAGAGTGTTAGCATTTCAGCAGCTAATATTGCTCTTTACTGGGATATGAGTACAAAAGATCTGTGGACTTTTATTTGAATGATTCTTGTACACTGGGCAAAGTATGTATTGAGACCTGCATCAAAGTTGACACAGATAATCTGTCAGGTTTCTCGGTCGGTGCCCAGATTTGTATGTTTTTTTCACCTGTAGAACAACCTGAATCAGTATTTCATTATAGTTTGAAAACCAATCATCAATTTCTACTAACATGTACTTATCTTCAAGTAGCTATAGGAACAAATGTATTTGTTTTCTTCTGTCAGCACAGGAAAAACAAATATATTGGCTATGTTGACCGACTAACTAAATTGCCTTCATTAAAAGAACATTATGTCTTCAGCTAAATTAGGGTTCTTTAACATGCACTGACAGTCCTACTACTGAAGTAACTTTGTAAAGGTGAAAGAGCTTTCCTCTAAGACTCCCTAATCAGCGCCTAGAATGCAGTAGGCTCCAGGCTCTTGAGGAACTATGTGGTGTTTACAGTACAAAACTGAGTAAGCAACTAGGAAAAAGAATTTATACAATAAATTTAACTTTGGCTCAGAGCACAACATTTCAAGTCAACTGTTAAGTATTGTTTGACCACTTATGTGCCAGAAAACACACTTGCCCTGTTCTGTGTCTGTTATTGATGCTGCAGAGGCTTCACTGTATTGATCAGTGTTTGTTTTGTTCCATTTTCCTCTTCCAGGTGTTTGTTTAACAAAGAAAGTCTTTTCTTGCAGGTACTAAGAGGAACTGCAAAGGTCGCTGCTTAGAACTTCCAGTACACAATTCTAGTTAAGGGCAGTGCCAATGGGAAATTTTCGGTGACTAGATGATTTCATAGGGTGTATTTAAAAATATCACAGTACTTTTTTTTTTTTCAAATTTCAATGCAAAAATATGCATCATGTATCTCTTCTAGCCCTATTTCTCTTGTTCCAACTTTCCATAATGGTCTGTATGCCATCCAATTTGAACACTGAATAGATTCTTTTAAAATCGTCTTTCTCTGAGGATGGTTCACTTTCTAACCACCAAAGAATTAATTAACTCTCTTAATATCTGACTTGTATTTTTTAAATTGAAAAAATTACATTTTATTTTAGCAAAGAATACTTATCTTTAAAAACATTTAAAAACAGAGTCTGTATTTCCGTCATCTTTTATGAAATTACTATAGCAACAAAATTACATTAGACTTTCTGATTTCTCCATGGTGTCCTTGGATAAATAAACAACCCAGTAGACCATGTTAAATGCCCCAAATGTGACTGGAAAGAGAATTCGAGCATACTGGTCTATTTTACTTGTGCCAGATCCGGAAGGTGGTGGAGCAGAGGGAGGAGGTGTGGCTGCAACGTTCCCAGCTGTCCCTGTGGTATTAACTGTTGTCTTAATTCGCCCAAGTCTAGATCCAAATGCAGGGCGAGTAGAAGCCGAGCCCACAGAAGCTGGCCGAGATGTGCCGCGAGGAGTGGGAGATGCTGCGGATGAAAGGCCTCTCGCTGCTGCCGATATTGTCTCAGCTGCACTGGCTCTGCTGAATGGGTTTGGACTGGAAGCTAAGTAGGCCTTAGGTGGGGTTTCAGAAGACTCTTGGACAGCTGTCGTCTTGCTGGGATGGTTTTCCACCTCAGTTCTGCTGTTGATATCCGATTCTGAGTGGACCAAGGCATTTGTTCTTTTCCTCATGTTCAAATTGGCTTGTGTATTCTGAAAAGACACATTAAAATCACATTGATCATGTAGTTTTATGTAGATCTGAACATAATTCAAAGATAAAAAAGTGTATGATTACTCGGGTCTATAAAATAACCATTTGTAAATCTTCTGAGACATTTAACTATCATTGCCTATTTCTAGCCATATTAAGAGTAAGTAAAGAGATGGAGAAGTCAAGAGGATTAAAAGGAACCTTACAGATGGATGACTGGAAGAAGCAGACTTTGGAGGATATCAATGAAAAAATATAATTGATAGCTCACTTTGGAGACACAGAGATTTTTCTATGACTGTATTTCTCATTACTACACTCAGACATTTTAAAGGTCCACTACCGTCCTCATGGACTTGTGAATTATGACTTCAAGGTCAATGAATAGAGTTTGAAAACAGAAGAAAGCAGTTTCACAAAACAGAGCCCAAAGAAGACTCTGAGAAGCTTAGAATGCATTCTTCATGTCAGTGTGGAATATTCTTCCAAACAGATTGCAACCGAACTAATGAGAACTTGTGACCTAACATATGGCAACAAATTTCACTGGAGACAACTGAAATCAAAATCAGCATCAACCTAAAAGCTTAAGACACCATCATGTGCACTGCACTTTTCCTCTACGTTTTCTAAATCCCCTTTTATAGAAAAGAACAATAAAATTTAACTTTTTCTAAAATATTATACATGCCATAAAGAACAAAAATGTGTTTGAAGAGTGTATTCTATTCCTAGAAACAAATTATATATACCCACATATCATAAGATAAAGAGAATATAAGAAAAATAAATACATCAAAAGTAAAACCAGGACGAAATGCTAAGCCAAGAGCACAGAGAAGTTTCAATCAGTGAAGGCATTTGCTGGCAATCTTGATGACTGGGGTTCCATTCCCAGAACCCACATGGGGGAAGGAGAGAACTGACTTGAGCAAAGTGTTCTCTCATCTTCACACTCTTGCTATCACATCTATATTCCTGTGTGTACACATGTGCGGACACACACACACACACACACACACACATACACGCAAATTTATATACACACAAAATAAGTAAATGGCAAGTTAAATAATTAAAAGTATATGGAGAAGGAAAGAAAGTAAAAAAATTAAAAAATTATTGATTATACAGTAGGTGTGTGTGTGTGTGTGTGTGTGTGTGTGTGTGTGTGCATTTCTTTTTGTGTGAGTTTTCTTCCACAGAAATTCAGGGTTTGTGTTTTCTTTAGAAACCTATATTTTCTCTAATGCTAAGCCTAATGATGGATGACATCTAACTCCAACCATAGTAGAATAACAGAGACTGACTTTTCTCTCCTGATGGAAGGGATGAGAATGACCTGGATAAAATATGCAAAAAACAAAAACAAAACAAAACAAAAAAAAACACCTCATTATTGCAAGACACTGATATCAAACAGCACAGGACAGGAATCACCGGAGGGGGGGGGGGAGAAACTAACCTGAGAGTTTCCATATTGTGCTGCAGAGAAAAAACAAGCCCAAGAAAAGCTAACAGACCCCTGAACCAAAGAGTTGATTTGCATTAAATCAAAGTATTTAATTTGATTTAAATTTGATTTAAAAACTAGTATTAAGGAGAAAAATGTTGAACAAAGATCTCTCAAAGTCTAAACAGAGCTATGTTAAGTGAAGAATGGTTTATAAGTGAGAAGTACTCACCCAATACTGAAAAACAGAACCACCAGAAAGCATGGGAGAAAACAGTACTTGAAAACCTCCCAAAGACAAGTATAAGAGATGAATGTTCCCATTAGCCAGATTTGAAAGTGTCTGTAACAATCCGGAAAGGCTTTACTTCAGGCATATAGAATGAAGAGTTCTAAACAGTAACAAAAATTCTAATAGCCCTACTGCTAACCCATGTACTTTAAGATGAAGTGGACAGCAATAACTTATCTGTTCCAGAACAAAGTGCAAGAATATTTCAGAGCCTATTCAAGATTTCCCCTGGACTAGTTTTCTCTTAGAACTTCTTGCATTCTGTGAATCATACTCTGGTGTAGTGGAATGGTTACAAAACTGATTCCAAGCAATCATGTGTTTTTACAGCCAAGTCCCATGTAACATGCACACTCCTCCCCCATCAAGAGATGGATTCCATTTCTCCATGCCTTACTATTTTCTTTGGCCAGTAGTGAACTATGATAATGATAGTGTGTCATTTACAAATCTACCTCAATAATTCTGATTTGATTTCATCTTGCTTAATGTGTTGTTACCAAAATGGTAAAGAAAACACCCAACTTAACTCCTAGGGTGAAAGAACACAGAAGCATAATCACTTACCCCAAGGAGACCAAACAATAACTTGCTGGGTCTGTTCCAGCTAAGAGAATATAAATAGCCCAGGCAAGCATACTCATCAGAAGTAGAAAGTTCACACTGGTCCATATAATTGACCCAAAAGAAAATATTTACTGTATGTACATAAGTATTTGTCATGACTAATGAGGCAGTGCTGTTATTTCAACAGTTTAACATCTATAGACTAATAAAATAAGTGTTCAGAGAGGAGGTGTTTCGAAGCCTCTCTCATGAGGAAAATTTCCTTCAATCTTTTATGCTTATGAAAAGACTGCTTTCCCCAGAACCCATAGAGAACCTTGAGGGAGTCCTGTTGCCTAAACACAATGGCTAAATAGCCAAGATGTGTTGTTCTTCAGAATTCCATTTGTCAAGAATTACAAATTTTTTTTAATTTTTTATTAATTACACTTTATTCATTTTGTATCCCCCCATAAGCCCCTCCCTCCTCCCCTGCCGATCCCACCCTCCCTCCCCTTTCTGCATGCATGCCACTCCCCAAGTCCACTGATAGGGGAGGTTCTCCTCTTCTTTCTGATCTTAGTCTATCAGTTCTCATCAAAAATGGCTGCATTGTCCTCTACTGTGGCCTGGTAAGGCTGCTCCCCTCTATTTTTTAACTAGGAGAAATTTTTGTGTCGCTTTGCTTTGTTGAGGAGGAAAACAAGAGCACAGAGGTTCTGACTGGTTAGAAGTCACAGCAAGTATTACCATGCCTAATTTGCTCTACTAAGTAGCTTTTCTGCTCAGAAATGTGGCAGAGGCTTTCAAGAACTTACCATTAAGAAGCTGATTCAAGACTTTTAAGTCAGAAGGGTGGTCTATTCTTTTAATATCATAAAGGTATTATCAAATGGCATCAGCAGGCCATCCAAGGAATGTGACATTTTTACCATAATTGACCTGAGTGAGATTCTCTTGTTTACTTTTATTAATATATGTAATTATTTTTATTTTTCTTAGTTACAGTTTATTCACTTTGTATCCCCCTTGGACCTCCCTCCCTCCCTCCTCTCCTCCCAATTCCACCCTCCCTCTTCCCCACCTCTGTCACTCTCCCAATCAAATGATAAGGGGTCCTCCTCCCCTTCCCTCTGACCATAGTCTACCAGGTCTCATCAGGAGTGGCTGCATTGTCTTCTGTGGCCTGGTAAGGATGCTCTCCCCTCAGAGGGAGGTAATCAAGAGCAGGCCAATCAGTTCATGTCAGAGTCAGTCCATTACTATGGAGGCCATTTGGACACTGAATTGCCATAGGCTAACTCTGTGCAGAGGTTCCAGGCCATCTCCATGAGTTGTCCTTGGCTGGAGTACTAGTTCAGAAAAGACCCCTGTGCCCAGATTTTTTGAATCTGTTGCTTTCCTTGTGGAGCTCCTGTCCTCTCCAGGTCTTACTATCTCCCACTTCTTTCATAAGATTCCCTGCACTCTGCCCAAAGTTTGGCTGTGAGTCTCAGCATCTGCCTCAATACCCTGCACAGTAGAGCCTTTCAGAGGCCCTCTGTGGTAGGCTCCTGTCCTGCTCCCTGTTTTCTCCCTCCTCTAATGTCCATCTTCTTTGCCTTTCTGAATGGGGATGGAGCATCTTAGGGAGAGTCCTCCTTCCTGATTAGATTCCTTAGGTGTACAGATTTTAGTACGTTTACCAAATATTATATGTATAATATCCACTTATGAATGAGTATATACCTTGTATGTCTTTCTGCTTCTGGGATACCTCACTCAGGATGATCTTTTCCAGTTCCCTGCATTTACCTGCAAATTTCATGATTTCCTTGTTTTTTATTGCTGAGTAATATTCCATTGTGTAGATGTACCACAATTTCTGATTCTATTCCTTAATTGAGGGGAATTTGGAATGTTTCCAGCTTCTGGTTATTACAAATAAAGCTGTTACAGACATGGTAGAGCAGATGTCCTTATTGTATACTTGGGCATCTTTGGATATATGCCTAGGAGTGGTATAGCTGGATCTCGAGGAAGCACTATTCCTAATTGAGAAAGCACCAGATTTCCTACGTGGTTGTATAAGTTTATCAGCAGTGGAGGAGGGTTCTCCTTTCTCCACAACCTCTCCAGCATGTGTTGTCACTTGAGTTATTCATCTTAGCCATTCTGATGGGTGTAAGGTGAAATCTCAGGGTTGTTTTGATTTGCATTTCCCTGATGACTAAGGACATTGAACATATTTTTAAGTGTTTCTCCACCATTCAATATTCCTTTATTGAGAATTCTCTGTTTAACTCTGTTCCTCATTTTTTAATTGGATTACTTGATTTGTTGCTGTTTAACTTCTGGAGGTATCTCCATCCCTGATCTCAAGCTGTACTACAGAGCAACAGTAATAAAAACTGCATGGTACTGGCACAGAAACAGAATGGTGGATCAGTGGAATAGAATGGAAGACCCAGAAATAAACCTACACACTTATGGATACCTGGTTTTTGACAAGATGCCAAAACCATACAATGGAAAAAAGCATCTTCAACAAATGGTGCTGGTCTAACTGGATGTCTACATGTAGAAAAATGCAAATAGATCCATACTTATCACCCTGCACAAAACTAAAGTCCAAGTGGATCAAAGACCTCAATATAAAACTAGACACACTAAACCTGTTAGGAGAAAAAGTGGAGAAGAGTCTTGAACTCATTGGTACAGGAGACAAC